CGTAAATTTTCAGCTATCATACCAAATTGTTGACTCCTTAATCTGGCTTGGTATACGGGACATGATTAATGATCTTCGCAAGAAAAAATTGAAACTAAGACCTGTCACATATTTAAGCGGTTCGCAAGGCTCTGATTCTGATGTGCCATATGGATATATATGGAGCCCCCATCTTGTTCCTAAACCAAAAGGTACTTCAGTTATATTTTAATTGCATGTTTTAGTTCTTCCATATATAATCATTTGGAGTCCCTCAGGTAAACAAGGTAGGATTGTTTTGAGAAACTTGTTGAGTTCAAGAGAAATGTGGCTGTAGGTTGAGTGGCAATAACGTAGATAGTGCTGCCTAGGATAGTATATCGGACTCCATTTACAGGCGTATCTCTGCATGTTTTATTATTGAACATTCTTGCTTAAGAAGGCTTGAATCTTAGCAAAGTATGCCAATGTATGTCAGTCTTTACTGAATAATACTTGGTTTGCAGATTGGGGACCTAAGGTTGATGTGGTGGGGTTTTGCTTCCTTGACCTTGCATCAAATTATGAACCTCCAGAATTACTTGTGAAGTGGCTTGAAGCTGGTGACAAGCCTATATATATTGGCTTTGGTAGCTTGGTGAGTTTTGTTATTTATTCAATCCTTACTCGTGAATATATACATATTGCTATCTCTGCAAGTTTTCCTATATAGTAAAGCATACCTGAGCAGCCTTGGGACTTGTTTGAGTTTTGTCCAAACTTGAGGTTGGCCTCCATAATTATCCATCAATTGATAGAATAGTTGACTTGCTCAGGACACTGTTTATTCACTTTAAAATCTAGATCTTGTATATGGAGAATGCAGTGTCGTTTTCAATCAGTTTGAGTTTATTGTTATGTTGTATAATCATGTAGTGATCCTTGGAACTTAGTACATAATTGAGATTGCTATTTGTTTTTAGTCTACTGCAAGCTAAAAGAATGGATCTGATTAGTCAGACAACCAAAGTTATTTACCATCTCAAGGATAAATGAAAACTAGTGTTCTTCGGAGATATCCTTTGACCGCTTAAACAGATAGTCACAGACACACTTACAATTTGCACATGCATGGATGTGTGCATACACACATGCTGACACACAAACACACATATGTAATTATGCACATACCTATTCATGCATACATATGTAGCTTTCGTGACCAGAATCTACTTCCATGTGTCAGCCTGTTCAAGAGCCTCAAAAAATGACCCAAATAATTGTGGAAGCATTGGAAAGGACAGGGCAGCGGGGCATCATTAACAAAGGATGGGGTGGCCTAGGGGAGTGTAAGTTCTTAATTCCCACAAGCTTAGTACAATTTCATTGTTGTTTGGAGCTTTCCGTTATTCTCCTTTTTCCCTGTCTAGCTGACCTTTTGGAATGCACTGATGTATTTCACTTGATTTTGTCTCCTCAGTGGCTGAACCAAAGGACTTCATATACCTATTGGACAACTGCCCTCATGACTGGCTGTTTTTACAATGCAAGGCTGTGGTGAGACTTAACACCTTAGTTTGTGGTTTTCTTTCTGTCGTTTTAAACTGAGAAGAAAAGGGGAAACAGAAAAAAGGAACCACACCATTTGGTTGGATCAATTTTTGTTGTTGGATAAATGGGAATTGGATGGCAATTTTTTTAGGAAAAATTGGATGGCAATTATTTTAGTTGGATAAAGAAGAAACACCACCTTTGAGCTGGGTCCTTTATCTCGACTATGCTTTTGTGACCTGTAAGAGAATATTTTCCGATGGGCAAGTGGATGTCATTAGGATGGTTGCTTGTTACTTGTAAAATTTCATTCAACGATCTCCTAATATTTCCAGTCTTCAAGTGTTTGTTTCTCCACATGCTTTAGAGTAGTTTTAGATTTTAAACGGTTCTTATGGTTTTCTGCCCTTCCTTCAGGTGCATCACGGAGGTGCTGGAACAACAGCTGCTGGTCTAAAAGCTGCAGTAATTGTTTGATAACCTATCTTATGGTTGAATACTTTCAGTCCGTGTGATTTAGCCCTAGCCTAAATGTACATTGTTTTTCTTTTTAGTGTCCAACATACATTGTTTTTCTTTTTTAGTGTCCAACGACGATTGTTCCTTTCTTTGGAGACCAACCTTTCTGGGGAGAGCGAGTACATGCCAGAGGAGTGGGCCCTGCACCCATCGCAGTTGATGAGTTCTCACTTCCCAAGTTGGTTGATGCAATAAATTTCATGCTTGATCCCAGGGTAATCTTTTGTTTCAAAAAAATTGAACTGACTATATACATTCGAAAGGCATGTAAAATGCTACCTCCAGCATCTTACATGAGTGGCAAGATTCGATGTTCAAGTTTCTAAGTTTATATTTTAGAGGTTCTGGAACTTCAGTAGAAGTACAAGCAAACCTTAACTTTGTCAGTTGTTTGATTCTCGTAAGAAATCTTCATGAAATAGTTAGGAAGGCTTATTATCTTGGTGTAAACTGGAAAGAGAGAACCGCCTAATGAGCTTACCTATAAATTACACCAGGTGAAGGAGCGCGCCGTCGAACTTGCCAAGGCTATGGAGAAGGAGGATGGCGTGACAGGAGCAGTAAAGGCCTTCTTTAAGCAGCTTCCCTGCAGAAAACCCGACCCCGAGCCGGAACCAGGGCCGTCGAGCTTTTTCTCCGTACGGAGATGTTTCGGTTGTTCATGAATCCTGGATGGCATTTTCAACTAGCCATTCTCCCTGCAACCTGCGCCCTGAATGTTCATAATTCTCGATCTTGAAAATTTGTAAATTAGTTCATTCAGAGAAAGGGCATTATTGTTCTGAAGCTTGTAAATTTCACACTATTTTGCAAATGAAAATCGTCTTTTCCCCTTAGAAAGGTTCACCGGGGCTTCAGTTTCTGTGGAAATTTTAGTATACACCGGGAATTTTGGCCATTAGACGAGCATTCAATTATCAATGATCAAGATTCAACGGTCAAAAATCTCAATGTATATGATATCCCGAAACATACTAGAAAGTCTGCTGTTTCTGTTGTCACAACAGCCAGTTCTAGCGTACAAAATGATTGAATTTTTTGGAATTTCGCCGAATTATAAAATTGATTTTGAAGACAGAAAAACAGAAAACAAAGGTTGGGTTCTGAGCCGGAGATAAGTGGCATGGAACTCTGACTCAGTGCTGGCTGGATATTTTGAGCCTCTGGGTTGGTGCCACGTGTAAGCAGAGACATGCTGATTGGCAGGTATTGGATTCTTGTAATTGGGCAAGTGAATGTGGCAGCGCAGTGCATTGCATTTGCATGCAAATAATTTAAAAAAAGAAAAAGAAAAGAAAAAAGAGATGAGATTTGAGATTGGCGGTGGAGAGTTGGAGGAAGGATAGTAGTGGCCGTTAGCCCCATCACTCCATTTATAGAAAATTGCAGAGGATTAATGTTAATGGTGCTGCTGCTGCTGCTCCTGCTGCAGAAAAGAAGAAAACAAACCTGATCATGTAAGCTGAGCTTCCTCTGACAATCTGATTTCCACTCTCCATCTCTCTAAATTAATTAGCCACTTAACTCTCATTAATCTGGGTTTTCTTTTAGTTGTCAACTTGGCTAATTACTCAAAACATTGGCAGACGTGGATTAGAGAAGTTAGTTACGGCAAGTGTGCCTAGTTTTTTTGCATTTAAAAACATCTTCAAATAATATGTCAAATTTTAAACATCAAATGATATTTGATAGCTTAGATAGCAATTTGATATTTTGTACAATTTTTTGTTCACCCGATATATTAAATAATAAGCCTAATAATTTTTTTATCTTTTTGCAAGGTCCAATGATTTAGGCAACCAATTAAATATTTGGAAAACATAACAACATTTATTATATATTCTATTAAAAATTATTTAATAAATTTGACATCTACTACCGCAAAAAGCTTTGCCTTCAATTGACTCAGGACCACGTAAGAAATTGAAGCCTCAGTTGGAGAGAGTTTATTGTAATTTTTTACTATTGTATGTCTGTGGCAGTTTTGACATCTCATTTAGAGATGCTCTAAGTTTGAATCTCCCTCTACGTACCAATTTAGAATGTTGTCTTGTTTTTTTTTTTTAATTTTTTTTATTTTAACAAATGATAATCTACACTAAGGAGGTGGGATATTAGGTTAAGCCTCAAAATGATGTCTTGTTCAAAAGTTACAAAAAAAACAATTGTCAAGATAAGAAACTGTCCCATGAATCATGTATCTTTGATTATCTCTCAAGAAAAATAAAATAAAATAAAACAAAATGATTAAAACATGATGAGAAGATAAGAAACCGCTCAGTTGAGTTGCAGACTGTGGCACGTGTATCCTTAGGTATATTGCACCAATATATCCGATTACAAAACGACCATCGAACAAGTCCTTAACTAGTCTGACACACTAACTTCCATTGATTTTTCTATCTATCTTAAATTAATTACTCACTTGACCTTGATTAATTTAGGTTTTCTTAAAATTGTCAACTTGGTTAATTACCAAAAACAGGTGTCAAGATAAGAAACCGCTCCGCTTCGCTCCACTGAAGAGTTGCAGGCTGCATGGTTTAGCGCACTGGTTTTCATTGGGGCAACAGTGTCTTTCCATATCTGTAGGGGACCTGATTAGCCAAATAGTTCCAAGTCTTCGACCTTCATTTACTCATCACTTAATCACCCAACAAACTTAATTACTGCCCATCAAACCACTAAATTACAGATAATTGGGGAAGAAGTATTCATTGGTTAAATTATAAACAGATGATTAATTAGGGTTGGGAAATGGAACATCTATCTCTCTCTCTCTCTCTCTCTCTTATCTCTTGTGTTCCCAAGCCCATACAGCCCTCTGTGTCAAGCACTCTCTTTAATAATTATACTCAGAGACTCTTCACATTTTCCAACTCTTTGAGAAGTTAGCTTCTGAACTCTCTTATTTAACACTTTTGATCAGAAAAACACCCCATGCGCCAAACCTCCAAGACACTTATCTCAAATCTTCCTTTGTTTTCTCTGTCGCTTATTTCTCAACTCTCTACCCATTTCTTCAACTCTTCTACTGCCTCTCAAGGTTGATTCCTCAACCTTACTGAATTTTCTCACTTGGGTTTTCCTTCTTTTCGAATATTTGTTCACCTTCGTATTTTAATTTTCGGTGCAGACATGGAAGACGAAGAGAAAGACGTCACGGAAGTTGATCACCAAGAGAGCAATGCAGAAGAAGATAGAGACGCAAACTCAAGAGTGTTTCCGTGCCTCTTTTGTTCAAGAAAGTTTTACAGTTCTCAAGCACTGGGAGGGCACCAAAACGCTCATAAGAAAGAAAGAACGGCTGCAAGAAAAGCGAAACGCGCTTCTGACTACGCTTCCTCGATGAATTTCCCAATACTATCCCATAACACACAACCCCACATGGTTTTTACTCCAAACTATCACTTAGGCCTCTTGCATCCGTATATAACTCCCCATGCATCCAATCTCCGATACTTTCCGAATCCTGACCAGTTCTCATCAGACAGTTTCGGATCCAACGGAGCACCAAAGTTTGAGAATTTAGTATATTATGGTGGGAATTGCTCGTCGCCGAGCAATAACATGAATGGTTATCAGTGTGAGGAGGATGATCAAAGTTTCTTAAATTGGCAGAGGAGCATAAGAAGATATAACGGCCTCAGTGGAGGAGGTTCATCACAACATTCATCAATGGCGAATGGGAATCACAATTCCGGGATTGGTGGTGAATGTAAGGGTAAAGAGCAAAAGCTTGATCTTTCTCTCCATTTGTAGAAATAGTGAGGGTGGATTGTGGAGTTGCAATTTTGGTCATGATAATAAGCATCTCTCTAGCTTTAAGTTAGTCTTTTTTGAGATATTGTACTTGCAAATTTATCATGGGATTTTTTGCCTTATTGACATGATTAGTTGGATATAACGATTTCTCTATACATCTTTTCTCGTTTTGCACGTGTAATTTTATTTTTTTAATTCTTTTTTAGTCTATTCAACTTCATAGTAAAAAATGAGCATGAATGTGTTGTGTGTATGTGGAAAAAATTAGTGTGAAAATATTTAGTGCGAATTGGTAGGTTAAATAGAGAGCAAAAATAGTCGAGTGGTTTAGAGTAAAGAAAAATGCCTAACTTAAATGAATTGAAACTCTATGAATTGTAGGCACAACACATCACCCTTTACATTTACAAGTGATCAAATGAGTGTCCTACATAGGCATTATGCCTTCAATTGAATGTTTAAAAAAAATCTCATATTGAAAATTGACAATTGGTTTCCAATTTCACTGATGTTGTCATAAAACTTCCACACAAGTCGTGTTATGAAAATAGTAAGATGTAAGTATGGTCGATAATAATAACAGTTTGTTAGCATGTCTTTTTAGAATTTTGACGTAGTATTGATTTCTACAAGGTTGTGCAGCAACAATTGAAACGGTGTATTAAAGACTTGAAAAATGGTTTTGCAAAGCAGCAACAACATTGATAACAGATAAATTGGAAAAGCTTTGTAGAGAAAAGGCACAATTATGAGAAGACAGGGACAAACATGAAAGTTTGTAGAAGATAGTCGAGTGGTTTAGAGCAAACAAAAACGCCTAACTTATATGAATTGAAACTTTATGAATTGTAGGCACAACACGTAAACTCTTGCATTTTTACAAGTGATAAAACGAGTGTCCTACATACGCATTATGCCTTCAATTGAATGTTTAAAAATAATCTCACATTGAAAATTGACAATTGGATTCCACTTGTTTTGTTATAAAACTTCTACACTGGTCGTGTTGTGATAGCAGTAATATATAAGTTTGGCTGATAATAATAACAATTTATTGTCTTGTCTCTTTTAAAATTTTGACGTAGTATTGATTTCTACCAGGTTGTGCCACAAAAATTGAAACTATAAGAAGTGAAAATCCTAAATTCTGCAAGAAAATTATTCTCCTACTCCTAGAACTTAGTTTTTCTTCTCACACAAGGAATGGGGGAATAGGAAAGTTGATTCCTATTTGTACTAGATACATACGCTCTCACAAGGAAATTAGTTTGGGCCTTCTACTTGTCACGATTTGGGCTTCAAATTGGGGTCTTTGAAGTCTTCTAATTGGGCTTCAAAATCAACATCATAACCAGGGGGGAAATAAAGGAAATAATATCAAAACAAGTCCAAAAGGTTTATAAAAAGAGATTCAGATTCAGATCCATTAGGTATAAGAGGGTCGAGGGTTTGCTGTCCCGACTCCCATGTCTCATTCGTGCCTTTAGTAGTTGATCACTTACTTTTAAGCTTAGATTATTGTTCTACTTTTCGATGTGGAATTTTGCACAATATTCCTTTCAGAGATGACAATGGTTCACTGTGGGACGTATGCGTGACATCTATCCTCATAACCGTGAAAGTTATTCATATCTATATTCATCACCACCAAATCAATTATATGGTATTTTATAACCATTCTCGTCGAGTAACACATTCCTGGTTAAAAGTTTATCCATTTCATCACAAGTTTTCTCATAATTAATGAAGAAAAAGCGTTTTGTTCATATGATTAGAGAAAGAAAAAAATTATGATTAAAACTATTTTAAAATATAGAACGGGACAGATTTCAGGAATGGCTATGTAACCATATCCAAAATTGCATATAAAAGTTTTAGTTTCCCATATTTTTGTTCCCATAATACTCAAATATCCATATCAAAATCTTTATTTCGAGCTAAACTACACCAACAAACCCAAATTTAACTTTTATCTCAAACAGATAATATAATTTAAAACTTCAAAGTTAAAACCCAAATCATGAATTTTAGACTAGTACTTTTTGAACGTAAATATAAGAAATCAGGTATTGCATTGAAGAAGACGGCCGGCTTTCTGCCAGCTAGAGATTGCTAACAGAAAAAATTAATGGCCAAGAAGAGTCTGCACACAATGTTGTCGAAACCTACTTTTAGAGTAGTGTAAACACCACTTGAAGTTGGAGAAGAATTTGGAATTGCCAGCGGAAAAATAAACACAGGTCATCAAACACAATCAAGTAACATGGGATGTGTTGTGAGCTGGGTGCAAATAAAGCTATGCATATAGAGATCTATCACAAATGGATAACACAACCCATGTGGGCCAAATAATGACGGACCCGGTTTTTATGCCCTCCCACTTTGCATACACTTCCATTTCCTCATATTTTGTGCGGTCACGGTTAAGCCACGTCAACATTTTATATTGATTTTTTTATAGAGATAATAAGACAAAAATCAACAGTAATATAAAATGTTGACGTGACTTAACCATAACTGCACAAATAAGAGAGGATGAGAATGTATGAGAAGTGAGAGGGCTGAGAAGCCTGGTCCAATAATGACATTGAACAACAACGACTCAAACTCAAAAGGACAAACTTAGTACGCCTACCAATATGATCCTCTGCCTGCCTCCAAATGACGAGGAGAGAGAGAGAGAGAGATAGAGAGAGAGAGAGATTAGGAAATACTTGTGGTCATTATATATGGATTTTTCAATGCCATATATATGCGTGTGTGTGTGTCTTTAGGTCAATGTATGTGCTTGAGATGTAAGATTGAGTGACTTGAAACAATTTAAAGATTGTGTCTATTGTTCGAGAAAAACTTTGGGTGTAATCAAAGATATGTCTCTATTTTATTGTCTTGCATGATTGTAATAATATTTTTTTGTTTGTGATTAATTATAATGATTCTTCATCGATTAAAAAGGGGAGAAATTATGCACTCTTTTAAACCATGGAAAGTGACAATCGAGTTTATCTTTCTCTCTTAGTATAGCAGTCTTGTTCTCCTAGACTACATCTTCTAAGAAAACTGTGGTTACCCACCATTGGTTCTTAATTCTAACGGTTGGTAGTTATTTAACTTTTGTTGTATATGTTGTACTTTATTTTCCATCGTTGGATTAAGATCGAACAATAGCTGATATAATATTCTTAGACTATATATAAAATCTAGGGAAACGAAACTGAAGAATGTAGAATGACAACTACGACTGTCAGATGTGCAATGCAAGATATGCGACAACATCTTGTAAAAAAAGCTCAAAAAGGCTATTCAGACTTTGAGGGTTAAAAGTTAGGCTTCATACAAAGATGGGTCTTGGATTTGGTGGCAGTTTTGGCTTTTCAAGGAAATATTAGTTATTTCCATTTTCCAGGTGTCTAGAGCAATAATGCAGGCCAATATATCAAGTTGATAGAGAGACGAGGAGGGAAAATTAATTTTTCCGAGGGAAAGAGACAGAAGAAAAAACAATAAATGATGAAAAAGAATAGTATGATGCATGATGAGTTTATGGCATTGATGCCGCGCTCCAATCATCCAATATAAGAATCATTTTGTGGTATGAATGAATGGATGTAGGCAAATAGGCAATTGTAAACTACGTACCTCTTGGCCTACAATATTGTTAACTACATTGCAAAGATGAAGGATTTGTACAGAGAAAGAGGAAGAAGGCAGAGAGAAACAAGAGAGATTCTAGAGAGAGAGTGTTTAGAGAGAATAGGAATTGTATTGATTGAATGAATATTTACAACTATGAGACAACAGTTTATATAGAAATCCTAACCACTTTAATCAAATACTAACTACCTAACTATATTACTAACGTATTACATTTTTACCCTTAATACTCCCCCTCAATCTCAACTGGGGTAACCCAGTTTGAGATTGGAAGAACAACTGCAATCACTGTTAGGAAACCCAGAAAAACAGAACAACTTGAACCAACTGCAACCTTGATTCTGCAAATATGGAAATGATCTCGAACCTGTTCTAAATAACGAGTTTGTTATAGCTGCAGAGTAGCAGTGAACATCAATCTGCCCCAAATATATTCACTGACTCACTGCAACAAACTCAATCTGCAAGCTCAGTAGGAAGCACATCCAAAAGTCTAATATTCCTCTGCCTTTTAATAGGATCTTCACTGCAAACCAGATAGAAATTTACACCTTTTGTAGATACAATCTTCCCATCCAAAACATCCAATATTCCTCTGCCTCTCGCAGGAGCTTCAATCGAAAAACAGCCTCTTATAAAGTTGTAACACACCCTCAGGCCGGTTATAACAATTTCGTACGGGATTACCCTTCGTGGGATTTACCGGCATCAACTTCATTTAACATTGGCATCGGCCTTTAAAACAGAAAATTAACAAACTATAGTGTGGCATCGGCCTTAACTATAGTACCACGGGATCGCCCTTTGTGGATTTTACCAAAAAAAAAAAACAAGTACTTCGAACAATGGCATCGGCCTTCACAATTTCAACAACTGAAAATCAACATCTATGTAGGATTACCCTTCGTGGGATTTACCTACTCAAAACACGGAATTACCCTTCGTGGGATTTACCGTTTACAACTTCTTCAAACTTCATCGTATAACCGGATTTACTGTAGATTCATGCTAACAACTGAGTTGGTTAGACTCGACATTATAGGCTGTGATAAGGGACATATTGCACAACTCCTCAGTTAGCACATGAACACTTCGAATCAGGAGAATGACACTCCAAGATTCACAGAAAACACTTCGACTCAGGAGAATGACACTCCAAAAATCCACAGAAAGACTGCTACTTTCTTCTTCAAACCCACAAACTATAAATCCCAACATATTCACAAATTTTAGAGAATTATACTCCAAGAAAAGATACAGAAAGAATGATCCTTTCAGACATCACCATATCACAATTCTATCCAGAAATCAAGAACCCCCAAATCTTTGCTTCAAACAAACTAGGAAATCAAGAACAAACACATACCACGACT